AAAAACCCCCCCCCCCCCCCCAAAAAAAAAAAAAACAAGTCAGAAATCTATAGTTCTTCTTTCTTCATTTTGAGCCAGCAAGACTTCAAAATTTCAAGTTTGTTTTTGTTCTTTGATGGTGCTTTTTTATTTATCTTCAAATGTTCTTAACTCAACTAATGAATTTTATTCTTATAATTCAAAAGTAAACTTTTGCAATAATCAATCACTAAAATTGTTCTGCACGTTGATCCGAAATTTAAAAAACTCTAATAATAAAACGTGAAATGTTTTAGCTCAATTCGTTAGAAACAATTTTTAATGTCCAATTTTTCAATTTAATAATGCTTCGAAATCCATTTCTCAACAACAACAACAACTGCAATTCTCGAATTTTCAATGAAAGATTTAGAATTTGAAATTTAAAGCCCATAAAGACAAGTAGATATCTCAATTTGTTCTTCAAGTTCTAACTCAATAAGTTGAGAGATGACATTAGATAAATACTAATATCACACCTTAAAATAATACGTACGTGTATTTGACTCTTAAAATATTATTAGTGTATGAGAGAAGTAAAATAGGACGTATCGATCAAGGATTAAATAGGGTATGGCTTGAGCCCTATCCAAGCTTGGGAGATAGGGAAGAATTAGATGATGATTGTGGAAAAGAGGAAAAACGAACTAATAAGAAAGATTATAAGGTGACATAGAAGGAGGAAAAATTAGAGGTTACAGTAAGAAAAATGATAGTTTTTGAACGCTTGTATGTCATGCTAAGGTACAAAGGAAAATAAAAGAAATTGTACGGATTTGCCAAGACAAGAAAGAGGAAGGCTGAAGACCTAAAAGACATTATAGTAGTGCATTCAAATGCAACTAACATAACAGTCAACTGAAAGACATTAGCTAATTATCATCGAGGGGTTTGTTCCTAAAGAGTAATAACAGTTAATTGAATTAGTTAAGAAGGAAGATATATTCACACTTTTAAAACTTGTCAATATATTTCATTAAGAACTTAAACTATAATTTGTTCAAATTGAACATCAAAACACTTGATAAAGTGTTTCTATTAGATACTTTCAGCTCAAAATTTGGAGAAGTTTCAACACTTATTATCAAACATCCACTTTGTAGAAGCACACTTAAAATTTATATGAAGCTGAACAAGTCGTAAGCATGTTCCAATTAAGATCAATGTGTACAATTAAAAAAATGTAATATATTTTTAGTGATAAAAATATCTACATAATATATACTTGACATCATACATCGGAGCTTTTCCAAAATTTGAGTCAAAAGTGTTTAATAGAAGCACACTCTCCTGTGTTAAGGTGTTCAATTTGAATGGACTGTAGTTCAAACTAATGATAAATCTTCATTATTAACCAACAAGGATTGTGGTGGAACGATAAGTATTCCTTCATCTTTAATTAAAGGTTTGAGGTTGAGGTCCTCTTAGGTACGGAGTCGCCTTTGTTAGGAAGTGTTTTACCCTCAATGTGGGACTTTTCGGCACAAATTCGGATTTAATCGAACTCCAATGTAAATATCAGACATCGACACTAATCTAGATTTAGTCGAACTCCAATATGGGTATCAGACCTCGGATGTAAATCGGGGAAAAAGAATGTTCATTATTGAAGACAATCGATGGTCGAAATGAGTGCCACGATCTACCACTCTATTCTTGAAACGTGTGCATAAACAGCCAATCATATATATTTTGGCTAAGGGTTAGAGCATATATAACTTGATTCTCTTTTTATATAATTCATGAAGTGGCTGGTATGTACTCTGCATAACAAAACAAACATGTCACTAGTGTCACCTAGTCACCCATGACTTTTCTATCACAAAATTCCAACAAACTAATAACACTTCCTCAAACAACTTTTTTAAAAATATTTTTAAAAAAAAGTTATATGAGACATGAACCTTGTACATTAATCAATAATGCATAAGTTTGGTGTTAAAGAAAAAGGATATTAACACTTTTTTATAAGAGCAATGGTTTTTTAAACGAGTCATTTTTCTTGGGTTAAAATGCTATTGAAAATATTTCGTTTTTTGTGCTAAAAATTATTACAGGTCCCAATTGATTCAACAATTGGATTATTGGAGTTATCGGGTTATTAGTTTAGGATTTAGTCCATCAAACATAATATATATATATAGTCTACAAAGCATTCTTTTTATGTAGGATTTAGGAAAAACTCAGATTTTAATAGGGTGTAATATTATAGTTAGCATACCCTCATGCAAGCATCAATGTATATTCGTACTTGTAACTTATAAATTATACATAAATAACTCTATCACTACTTTAAAACTTCTTTTCTCCCTTAAATATCAATACATTTTTTTTATCCTCATGGTTTTTGATTAATCACATTTAACATTTAATTAATTGATATATGTACACTTTTGATCTCTCAAACTGTGAATTTTCTTAAATAATAAACTATTAAGTTCAATTCTAGAAGAAAGTGTGATTTATCTTTACTTTTAACTTTCTAAAAAGTATTTAAATAGCAAAATTTCTAAGTGGACAATGATTCTTCTTGTATCTATATCCAAGTAAAATTAACCTTAAATATAATTTAAATAGATATATAAGTATTTTTTATAAAATCTTTTCAACTATCTATATTTATCATTGTTTAAAGTAAGCCAACGAAAGTTCTTTATCCATATTAGTCATGCAAATCATATATATTTTGGCAAAGGGTTAAAGAGTCCTCTAGAACTTCTATCTCATTTTGGATTAGAAACTCAATAACAAAGATTGATGTTAATTTCAACATTTGATATCTAAATAGTATTCTCAATATCGTTGTTAAAAATTGTCTAAGTATAAATTTTTTATGTCTATATAATATTTCTTGAGATACAAAAATTTTCAAACATTTCTATTAGAATAAAATATTCCGCTTGTCTAGTTACTTTTATTTGTTTATTTATTTATTTTTCTTCAAAAACTTGAATAACCTCTATAAAAGTTTTTGGTCAATCATCTAGCTATTTCTAAATTGACAAAATCAAGGATCTCTTCGCTAAATAGTTAATTAAAATTAAATTAAATTAAAAGAACTATAAAAACCTTTTATTTTTCTA